TGGACTTTATAATATACAGCAGAAGTGAAAATGAAATACAGCATGCAGAAAATGGGGGACTTTCTGGATCAGATGGTGGTACACTGTCAGGTTACCTGAACGGAGATCACCATGTTTACTTAGCTGGTATACCAGTCCACTGCTAGTGCGGGTGCCGTACAATAGAAATTCAGAGAGTTGTGGTACTGAGACTGAACAGAAAGAACATGCAATAAGCCTTGACAAAGACTGCAACCCAGACAGCATACTGCTCTACTTAACACTCTGTGGACCGCGCACGCATTAATATGTTTTCTGCTTTTAAACATGGCGGACCAGTCGCGTATTAATACGTTTTTAGAATACAGTAAGTTGCAACACACTATGCATTGCTCTGGCTCCACCTACATTGCACACAACAGCCTGCAGATGCGTGATAAGACTCTGGAATGTTTAGTTAGCAGTCANATCATACAATTTCAAACCCATTCCTTAGTACTCTGTTTTCCCTAAGACATAAGACATCCCTAAGTTTATATTTCTATAAATGTTGATCTTCTGCAGCAGTGTTGGACAACCCAGAGCCATGTTAAAGATCAGGGAAATGATCAATTCCTCTACAGAAAAATTCGAAATAAAACACACCCCTTTCCAGGAATAGTGAATCATTAATTTATGAAAGCATGGTGTGTTGGAAAGGGTGGCTGAGAACTCAAGTCCTCCCCTTTAAATCCCATAGATTTTGAATAAATTGTTTGTGTTGCGTGACTGTGAAACTGGCTACATCTTGGACTTTATAATATACAGCAGAAGTGAAAATGAAATACAGCATGCAGAAAATGGGGGACTTTCTGGATCAGATGGTGGTACACTGTCAGGTTACCTGAACGGAGATCACCATGTTTACTTAGCTGGTATACCAGTCCACTGCTAGTGCGGGTGCCGTACAATAGAAATTCAGAGAGTTGTGGTACTGAGACTGAACAGAAAGAACATGCAATAAGCCTTGACAAAGACTGCAACCCAGACAGCATACTGCTCTACTTAACACTCTGTGGACCGCGCACGCATTAATATGTTTTCTGCTTTTAAACATGGCGGACCAGTCGCGTATTAATACGTTTTTAGAATACAGTAAGTTGCAACACACTATGCATTGCTCTGGCTCCACCTACATTGCACACAACAGCCTGCAGATGCGTGATAAGACTCTGGAATGTTTAGTTAGCAGTCAGTAACTTGACTTCGCTGTTCACTTAACCAACTATAAAAGAAAACGCTTTGCCTTCTTCAAGCTGTATCAGCCAGTAGCTAGTGGGAAGAATGGATCAAGGACAAATTCTCCTCCGATGACCTAGCTGACCTGCCTTGTGAGTCGTGTAGTAATGGATTGTCATTCAGACAGCGACAGTGACGGGGGACAACAAAGAATTGTGGCCACAGACAGTAAACGTGACAGTAGCTCCGACAATAATGTGGGTAATAACATTGCACGTAGTAACATTGCGGGGACAGCAAAAAATCTAAACCCCGATTCAAAATTGAAATACAAAGCATTTCTGATGAATGTGGCAAAGGCCTGGGCTACAGTCCAGATGGTGGCAGCAGAACCAGGGTCACACAAATATTTAGTACGACTGGGCCGATCAACTCCCACCCCACGAAGGCCTCATGTGGACCCACCAGTGCGACTCTCGAGTGATATGCGGAAAAATACCCTCTTGAAAATTGTGAAGAGTGAATATTCCAAGGGGAAGGATCCTTCTAGGCAATTCCGTGTTTGCACAGTTCACAAAAAAAAGAGTATGTCTACATTTGCAAGTTCTGTGTAAAGCCACTTCACAAATGGGAATGTTTCCATAAATATCACACCCTCAAGCACTTCTAGGAGCATTGGTAAGTGTTCTCCAAAAATTTTAGTTCAAAAAATTAATTAGGAGATTTTATATTAATTTTTAAAGTGAACAGTGCACAAGTTAGGATAGTATGTTTAAAAATGCCAGTCCCCCAGTCCCCAGGGTGATTTAAATATTTAAATCACCAGTCCGCAAAGCGTTAAAGATGACACCCTTGCCATCATGCAGCATCACAAATGAGACATATCCCTGTTAACATCAATTCACAAAGACCAGACAGCAAAGACAGCAAAAGCAGTTCACTCCATTGATGAAAAGAAGAAAAAGCTACAATAAATAAACAGAGTCTGGAGCTTGCAGACATAGGTTTGCTGAAAACACAAGCATACAGAGTGATATAAAGAGGGCTTCCCTCTGTTGAGCATGACTGGCCTAAGTTCATACTGCATCTTATTTGAGAAGACAGGACAGAAACCTCAGCTCGCTGATCCTTAGGGAGTTTAGTACTGCCAGAGAGTCACCAAAGGAGCAAGAGCAACAGCTGTACAAACTCAACCAAGACAGAAGAACTGACATTCTTCATACCTTGCATTTCCTGCATACAATCAGAAAGGGAGCAGAGCAGGTTCCAGTTGCAAAGTGTAATGTCAAGGGTTGAACAGAGGAGAGAAGCTGTACCTGCACTCCTGCTTCAAGGAACACTGTACATTGACCAGTTTCCAAAACTATAAAAACAGTCAAGCTCTCATGGCAGTGAGGATTGTTTCCTGGAATGTGACACCATAGTACGCTGGCAGACTGCTACAAATGCTTATATAAAATATATCAGTATGATAGGACCCAATGTATTGCATCGAATTACATACGTTGAAAAATTATGTATAGTTTTGGGTAATTTCTTAAACACTGTTTTAGATTTTGAAACGTTATTGCTCATATTTAATTTCAATTATGAGGGAGTCAGTAAATACATCACAAATGGAAGTCAAACAGCTGTAATGGACATATGTATCACTAGACAGCAGCCCAGTCCAGCTTTATAACAGTTTAGGTAGCAGATGTGTATGTGCCATGTTCAGAGGCTGGTTTCAGTAGTCAAAATGGTGACTGTGCTTGAGCAGTGTATTACAGAAGAGCAGCACTGTTGTGCTTTTTTGTGGGCAAAAGGATATTCATAAAGAAATGTTTCCTGTTAGTGATGGGGAGTGTTTGTCACATAAAGCAGTTCACAACTGGCTCGAGAAACATGGCAAAAGTTTCACTGATGAAGAGGTTGAAACGGATGAGCCTAAGTGGCTGTAACTGCCAAACAGGAGCACTGTTAATGGTGATGCACCCTACCACAACAAGCAGGACAACCTTCAACTAATTCAGTGAAGTGTGTATACAGTTGTTTTGAAGTAAACACAACATACAGTATGATGTTTATATAGGGAAATAAAAATTGCTCTTGTAAAACACAGGTATTCATATTCATTTTCAGTCAATAAAGTGCTGCAACAGAATGGGGTTACACCCATCAGATTGCCTTTGTTCTATCAAGATTTAAATCTCACAGAATTAATCTGGAACATGGTAATAAGAAAAGGCTACAGACAGGGTTTGAGTACACTTACAAGGATGGTACATGAATTATCATCCCAGATTAGCTGAAAAATGCTTCTGTACATGTTGGTGGGATAGCTGATGATCGCTGGAAGAGAGATGGGTTCATACAAGATAAAGTGGGGGGATGTTAATTACTGTTTGAATGGACATCACCCATGAATGTCACTAAACTATGGACAAGGAATGTACTGCCACAGCAAGTGACATGGATACCAAAATTGCAAACAGAAGTGGTACTGCTGCTGAACATCTGAATCCACAATGGAGGCTACTACGCCACTGCAAGAAAGTATGTCAGTCAGACACATGAACCACAACACCAAACTTGCAGAATTTTGAAGTTTTTTAAAAGAAAAACAAAAACATATTTACATGTATATCTGGGGGGGGGATCGCCAGATACAGAGAACCACAACTACATATGTGCCAGGTTTTGTAACTGTACAGTCTGTGGTTCCTTAGACAAATGTTGATAACATTAACATTGTGAAAATCAGGCTTATAATCTTCCCTCTGAGAAATGGGATATGAAGCAGACTCAAGCAGCTGAGGACTGGTGAAGGCAGGCTTTGGTATTAAAACTCTGTTGTTAGCATCCAGTTAGTTGTCGCAGTACAAAACATTTTATTTGTGTAATAACCGAAAATAGAGTGTGCTGCAACAGGGGATGAGACAATTATCATATTCTCCCTACAGCCATCTACTGATGTTCTGTAAACATACAAACAAAATTCTTGTAGTTAACTATACTCACTTATATTTTATTTATACTGTACTGGTACATATATTCAGTTATAGTACCGACTGCCCATCATTTGAGTTGTACTTATGGATCACATTTGGAAAGTAAGACTTCTCTTATCACAGAGTTAGTAGAGAGTCCGTCGAGTGTAACAATTTGTAGGTCACTTTTTTAATATCACTTCTGCCTTACATGTTTCGGTTTGATACAACCATCATCAGAGGCACTTGCTGTAACTATGGAAACACTATCGTTGTTTATGATGTTCACAGTTATGTTTGTCGTGTATACGCTGCTACAATATGCTGACGTGTAAAAGCACAAAACTTACTAAGAGTGTTGAGTACACTATCAAGTTCTCACTTTTCATCCAAAACTGTTTTAAGTTAAAACGCTAAATGTTAAAATATTTAATCTAAAATGCTGAATTCCTCCTTGTTAGTTCATCCCGAAGATGGGAGACATCAGCTTGAAGTTGTATGGCTTATGGTTCGATGTTTCTTATGTGCTGTGTGTGCTTTGGGATGAACTAACAAGGAGGAATTCAGCATTTTAGATTAAATATTTTAACATTTAGCGTTTTAACTTAAAACAGTTTCGGATGAAAAGTGAGAACTTGATAGTGTACTCAACTATCTTAGTAAGTTTTGTGCTTTTACACGTCAGCATATTGTAGCAGCGTATACACGACAAACATAACTGTGAACATCATAAACAACGATAGTGTTTCCATAGTTACAGCAAGTGCCTCTGATGATGGTTGTATCAAACCGAAACATGTAAGGCAGAAGTGATATTAAAAAAGTGACCTACAAATTGTTACACTCGACGGACTCTCTACTAACTCTGTGATTGATAGTGTAACGGACCAAAAATGAAACAATTCAAAAAAACTTCTCTTATATTTAGATAAGTGGTTGTCATGAAATAGTTTAATCACATTTACTTTTAGTTTCATATGGTAACAAGCACAGTATTATTTAAGACACTCTAAATACAACTCTCCCTTTCACAGTTGCTGTCATCAAGTACCTAAATGACGTCAAGCATCCACCTGAAGATGCTGGAAACCCTGAAATATGATATAATATTACATACAGTCAGGCAGTGTCAAACAGGGCGAGTCATGATGAACTTTACATATGTGCCAATGGTGCACTAATCCAGATTACATCACTCCACGTGTAAGAGTTCATGCAATCCTGGGCTCCTTCGCAGCAGAGTACCCATAATGCATCTAGATGGAAGTAGCAAATGCTCTCTTAGAGTGATTTATCACTTTCAAAACAATCCAGTGCAGCCAGTCCATAACTCAATACACAGTATCGACTTTTTTAACCTTATGTAGTGAGTATTAGTCACATCGGAGGTGGGACCAAACTCATTCCAACCAAAATGTTTCTCCCTTCTAATACAGGCAAAAATACAAACCACAATACTTTATTATGTTCTGAAGATGGCTCCTGTAGTGGCATCCAAAACTTCAGCAGTCTTCAATTTCTCAACACAGCAAATCTTCTAATAAAAAGCAATGAACCTGGCAGCAGTGACTGCAACAAAGATTATCTAAGTTATCTGTCTGAAAGACATGGTCTCATGAACAACATAATGTCTAAAAACAAGATAATTTTCAATTCATTATCAGCTCATACAAACAAAACACTGTCACAGTTTAATGCAGGCACTTCCAACTGATCACATTAGTTATCATACATTTATATTTATTTGTGTTTATTATTTTGCTTATTTGCAATATATCTTTTGGACACAATCCAGAATATGAGACATTAAAACAGCATATTCATTGTCTTCTACTAGGTAGCATTGTACTCTGAACAGAAAATCTTCCAACGATAAAGGCACAAAGAAGTCTGGGCCTTTAACAGAGACAACCAGCAATTATGCTTCAGAAGCTTGGTGGAAAGCTGTGCCACACATGTTTGAAGTGCTGCTTGCCAGTGGGAAGTGTGTGACAATAATTATGACATTAGTTGTCTTAAGTAGATTCTAGAGAATTCTGACAATGGTGTATAACACTCAGAATTACTGGGTTTTAGGACTTATTCCATCTTCCGGTAGTCTAGAATCTAGAAAAGGCAATGTTTTGGAAACTGGACCTGTTTCTGTCCTCAGTTGAGGTGGGAAAGACACCTACTCAGTTGGGTCCCTTAGAAAGAGCTAACCTCAATCACTGGATTAAAGTGCTGTGTTTCTGAACAAGCTGAGAAAACACAAGATCTATGATACAGTGTCTCAACTGGCGAACTCTTCACACTCCCATTCCTGCTGTGTTGTCCAAGCGTAACAATAATCCCCGAGGAAATTAATGCCAAGTAACTTGGGCACTTTCCTGCTACCCACTTACCAGCCCAGTTCACCCTTATTCATGATTTTAATTATGTTGTGCCCAATCTTTATTAATTAGTAAACAAATTTAACCCATCCTCAATAATTACATCTCTGAAAGAAAAAAAACATCTTCAAAGATGGAAAGGGGGGGAAAGGTTACATAGTTATTTTGATGTGGGTTAGCAGTCAAGTGGTACCGGTTTGTGGTAACACAAACTTTCACAAACACTGCACCCTGAAAGTCCAAGTATGCTCCCTCAAGAGAGAAGAAAACGTTAATTTCCAGAGTTGTGACGGCTAAAAGGATCAATTCCAGGCAAGGTACTGGATGTTTTCTTCTCACCACCATGTCCAGAACACCTCTGAGGATCATTTATCCTGGGGTAAAAATGGCCACAACAAGAAAATGACCACCTGCCACCATCCTGTGCCCAGATGAAGAATGTACAAAGCTTTCTTCAATGTCTTATATGTATGTTCACAGTGTTGTGCTTACAGACACAGAATTTTACCGTAATTATTGTTGTGTTTTATTCCTTCTGTGTATGTGAGAAATTAAGTTATTTTATCTGACAAGCTATGCAAGAAAAGCTTCTCGTGGCATGTATTTGAAGGAAATCTGATATCCCTCACATCAGACACTTTTTAACATCATACCTTGCTTATGCTCAGCAACAATCAACATTCTTGGAATCTAGTGACCACAGTCATACAGCGTACAGAACAGTGAGACCTTCCACAAGAACAATTTTAAAGCAGTCTGAATGTTTACATTTCAACCAAACAATCTTTCTGATGATTTACTTACTTACTTACTTACTTACTCATGGAGCTGAGCCCTTCTGGAGGAGCTGCCAACTCTGCAGCTATTCAAGAATTTCCCAGCATTTTATGGAACCTGAAGATTCATTACCATGTTCACAGGAGCCCTCCACTGGTCCCTATCCTGAACCAGATCAATCCAATCCATACCATCCCATCCTATCTCTCTAAGATCCATTTTAATATTGTCCACCCATTTATGCCTTGGTCTTCCCAGTGGTCTCTTTCCTTCTGGCTTTCCCACCAATATCCTATACACATTCGTCTTCCAAACTCGTGCTACATGCCCTGCCCACCTCATCCTCCTTAACTCGATCATTCTAATTATATTTGGAGAAGAGTACAAGTTATGAGGCTCCTCACTGTGCAGTTTTCTCCAACCTCCTGTCACTTCATCTCTCTTCGGTCCAAAAATTCTCCTCAACACCCTCAGTCTATGTTCCTCCCGTAATGTCAGAGACCAAGTTTCACATCCATACAGGACAACAGGAAAAATAATACTTTTGTATATTCTAATTTTTATGTTTTTGGATAGCAGACGAGAAGACAAAAGGTTCTGGACTGAATGGTAGCAAGCATTACCCGAGTTCAATCTCCTCTTAATTTCCTCCTGAATCAGGTTTCGATCCGTTATCGTTCCAAAATTTCTGAACTGTGCCACATTTTCAAAACCTGTTTCCTATCTTTATGTCAAAATTTGGAATCTTTCTGATGATAGTGTGTTAAAATAATTATAATTATCGTTTTGAGAACTGTCCACTGTCTTTGAAATTTTTTCACATAATATTTTGAAAACTATCTGTTTCTATTATCAGGCAAAAGGAAGAATATGTTCATACATAGTTCAGGGAGGCAAATATTTGCATGAGTATAGTGTACAATTTGTGGTTCTCACAGCAGTATCGCCACCCATTTTCATGCTGGATTCTTGTGTGGCTTATTCTTAAACCCTGAAGATGGAGGCAACATGTTCCTCCAAAGCCTCAGCTGAGACTTTTCAAGGGGCTACAAAGCATTACATTCCAGAGGACAGAACTCTTCAAAATTTCTTCGAAGAAAATACTTTTTTAATAATGTGGCCGACACATAGGTATATAAGGTGAAAAGCAGCTCCTAACTGGTTTGATATTGGAAACCCTGAGTATACCACGTCCAATTTAATTTACCTTTTATAATTTTAAAATTTTGAGTCTTTTTAATAAAGATTTCCTGACAGAAAACATGAAACAATAGGAGAACATGTTGCATTACCTCATATTCTTAAGGGTAGACGAGCCTTGTCTCCAGTAGCTCATTCCAGTTCACCTCCAGACTGTCTACCGTATGCATATCAGGTGTGCTTTCAGTCTCCAGACTGAACTTGCCCTTTGGTTGCTGACACTGTTTACTACCATCTGTAATTACCAGAGACTGGTCATTAAACATTAAGCGTTTATAATGTTGTACTGCAGTAGCCTGTTGCACATCACTTATGTTACCTTTTCATTCACTCTCACATGCAAACTTGTGTTAAAATCTTAAAATTCACTTTTTTCCTTAATTTTAATTTTTCACATCACTGGTGCACTACACGTTTCGACCGATACGGTCATCATCAGGTGCTTAAAAAATTTCTACACTTCCATCAAAAATGAGGGCATACTTTGGAATTGTATTCACTGGTGAAAGTGCAGCAGTTTTCAACAGCAATTTTTTAAGCACCTGATGATGACCATATTGGTCGAAACACAGCACACCAGTGATGTGGGGGGGGGGGAAAACTGAATTTTAAGATTTTAACACAACTTGCATGTGAAATGATGAATAAATGAAAATTAAGCATTTGTTATGCACAATAAATCATATAAAAACTTAATGCAGGTATCAAGAAATCCTGGCTGCCAGAATACATAGTACTGCTATGTGGTATGTATGAATACAGACAGGGTTTGGATTGGATTGAATATATTTATTAACCACTTACAGGTCACAATTACAAATAACTACAACATTATCCTCATTTCCACACATTACAGTTCACTAGAGCACACAGTCTAGTGTTTTCACTCTGTTACTAGACATTTCCTGGTACCAGCTCCAACAAAGGCTATTCCTCTGGCTCTCACACGGGTCATCTTTTCACAGACTCCCGCACAGAACTGACTAAGCTCTAACCTTGTCCCTTGCTTATAATATCTTGGCAGTGATCACATAGGAAACACAGGTCTTCTATTGTTGCATTTGTGTCTGTTGCTGCAGGAACATGTTTACCAAGCCAATACCCAGAAACGGTCCCAGTATATCCGCCTATCTCGTGGTTGTTGCACAGCAATGGCTCTACAGGCTACAGTATTATATAGACCACAGTTCACCATATTCATACAGAACTCCAAGAAACTGGGCCACCAAAGATGGGTACAAGACTGTCAAAAGCTCTCCAATGAAGGGCCTGCAGATAAACCGTCTGGAAACCTACTGGCCTTGACAGTAAACAGTGCAGACTGGTAACAGGATTATTAACTGACCACAGTACACTGACATGTTATGGGTCTCGGATAATGCTACATGCACAAAATGTGGACAGGAGGAGGAATCCTCCAACACCACACTTTGCCAGTGCTGAGCTCTGCCTGCGCATGGACCTGTTCCACATGGGTGGAGCCAACAGTTTTTGATGGGGCCTTCATCAAACCAAAATCATGTATCAGCCTACTTGCGTTATTTTCTATTATTTATTATTATTATTTTTGGAGGGGGTGGGTTTCCCCATGCAATGCGACTAGTTCTTAATCTATTGTGGGTCCCCCTTTAATTATTCTACCAGTCGCCATGCCCTTCCAGTACTGGTGCTCGCTATCAGCCCCGTTCTGCCAGCGAGGTCGGCCCTCTCTGGCAGTGGTCCCCGATACTTCCCCATCTACTGGAGGAATTGGAAACTATCTGGGTGGGAAACTTTGCCTAATTTTGCTCAGAGGTCTCCTAGAGACATGAGGATCTTTTACGTGCCGTAAATCTACGACACGGGACACATGACTTAAAGTCCCTCCCGGAGGACTTGTTCCCTGAATTTTTCAGCCCTTAAAAATTCCACGACCTCCGCCGGGTTTTAACCCGGGTACCTTCAGTCATGAGGTGTGGGAACGTTACCCCTAGACTACGGAGGCCGCTTATAAATANCCTTCCCACGTTATTTTCTAGGAATAGCTAAGAAAATGGGATTTCATGTCTGTGTGTCTCCCGCTGCAAAAATGTTAACAGACTGATGCACTGTCATGCTGTTGGCTGAGATCATGCCACTAGAGGCATTTTTGTGTTTACTGCACTGACCAAATCACCAATTTCATCACAATAACATGGTAACAGCTGAAAGAACTACTGGAGTGGAAGTGATACTACTAGCATAACTCGATATAGGTTTATGAAATACAGTGTGATCAGTCTTCGGATAATATTTAACTTCTGTCAAGGTACTTTCATATCTACTAGCTATGAGCTGGACAACAGAAGGATTGGAGTTTGAGTCCCGGTAGGGTCAAAAATTTTCTCTTCTCCATGTTGTCCAGACTGGTTCTGGGGCTAACCTAGCCTACTTTACAATGGGTACCAAGACCTCTTCCTCTGGGAGTAAAGCAGCCGGCACATGAAGCTGACCACTCACCTCCAACTAGTGCTGGGGTCAAGAAAACGATCTATACATCCAACACCTCTACACATTCATGGCATAGTTTTCAATTGGTTAAGCATAGGGGAAACTTTGATCAAACAGGTTCTGGCCCTAGCACTAAGGACAAGGCTCTTCTGAAGGGTCCTAGTGAAAATGGGTGCACAATGGACCTAGTAGTGGTCTGAGTGCTTGGGATGATGGGAGGTTGCCCCTCCCATGCAATATTCAAACTAAAGAATGAAGAATGTTAAAATGAGCAATCTGCAGTTCTCATTCTGCAGTACAAACGACAGCTAGAGCCAAAGATGAAATGGGAAGGCTGCCTCTTAAAATTATATAAGAACATAAGTAGTCAGCAAAAAAAAAAAGTTAAACATCCTGATCCGCAAATCAGTAACAGCCCAGCCATATTCATCACACAGAGTGTATCTTTACTGTAAACAAAACATGTGCTCAACAATTCTCTGTGCACATGCTTCAGCCTTTACTATGAAGTCGAAACCTATTGAAACTGATCACACAACTGTCTAAAAGTTACCAGACTCATTTTCAACATGCAGTTCACACTTAAAATCTCCATGTTGGATAAAAACTGGGACAGCTCAGTTGGTATAGCAACAGGCCATAGGCTGGGTTTGATTCCCAGCAAGGGCAAGATTTTCATTTTCTCCACAATGTCCAAATCAGCTCTGGGGTCCATTGAGCCTTGTATCCAATGAGTACTGGGAGTGAAGCCCCATCTAGTTCCAAGGCCAAGAATGGTGTTGCTATCTCCACTCCCCCATGTATTCACAGTGTGATGCTTAATTAATCAATCCATCTCCATACCTGATATTTTGTTCCAAGGCCAAGAATGGTGTTGCTATATCTCCACTCCCCCATGTATTCACTGTGTGATGCTTAATTAATCAATCCATCTCCATACCTGATATTTTGTTCAACACAAAGGACTTTTCTTCCACAAGGGGAGCCTATATCATACTCTGCTACTCAACACAGAAATTGCAGAAGTAATTATTTAGACATATTTTGTCATATTGATATTAGCTGAGAAAAATATGTGTAAAGGGTACAACCTTCTTGGTTGTAGGTAGATGGCAGTAATATGCTCCTCTGAAACATCTGACTGTCTCTGAACTACACAGTGTTACAACTCAGAAGGCTGTGTGGGCTCTTCATAGTCACTGCCATGAGAACCTCAAGTCTAACAAATAATGCGTAGCTTATGTTCAATTAAAATAAGTTTCAACCACACCTGAACCACATTTAAATTAAAGTGTATTTATTTTTTATTTGTTTCATTCTGGTCCATCACCCTAACAATTATAAATACAAACCACTCCATCCAATGTGACATATATGTTTTTAATACATGAAAACTTTTCTCCCTTACATGTTTCGGTCGTTATTGACCATCTTCAGAGGGAGCATCATTACGAACTGGAAACTGCCATCACAATAGGTGTTTTGATTTAAAATACATACACTTACATCCTATAATGCACAGTACGCATAAAGTTGAACATTTCACAACCACAGCAGCTTCCTGGTATTATAAAGTTTTTAAAAGTTTCTAGATGTTAATTTGAAAAGCCTTTATTGTCACTAGTCGAAATTTTTTTAAACCACGTAGGTTCGTGTCCGTACTCCTGTTGTCCTTCTTGTATGTGGCAGATTTTGTGCCGCCTGTCTATCTTGATGAGGAGGTTCTTGATGTCGTCCAGGGTTTGCTCGTGGCTTGCTGTGAAAACAACACATACAAGAAGGACAACAGGAGTACGGACACGAACCTACGTGGTTTAAAAAAATTTCGACTAGTGACAATAAAGGCTTTTCAAATTAACATCTAGAAACTTTTAAAAACTTTATAATACCAGGAAGCTACTGTGACTGTGAAATGTTTGACTTTATGCGTACTGTGCATTATAGGATATAAGCATATGTATTTTACATCAAAGCGGCCTCCGTAGTCTAGGGGTAACGTTCCCACCTCATGACTCAAGGTACGCGGGTTCAAACCCGGCAGAGGTCGTGGAATTTTTAAGGGCGGAAAAATTCAGGGAACAAGTCCTCCGGGAGGGACTTTTAAGCCGCGGGTCCCGTGTCGTAGCTTTACGGCACATAAAAGAACCTCATGTCCCAAGGGGACCACTGAGCCAAATTGATCGGACCTTTCCCACCCAACAGTAGTCTCTAACGCCTCTGACAGATGGGGGAGCATCGAGAGATACCGTTGGGCCAGTAGGCCAGTATAGGCCGAACTCACTGGCTGAGTCGGGACTGATGGCACGCACCAGTATCGGTAGGGTACAGAGACTGGTAGAATATCACAGAGGGGACATACAATAGACCACTGGTCGCGGTTCATGGGGAAACCCACCCCTCCAATAATAATAATAATAATAATAATTTTAAATCAAAACATTTATTGTGATGGTAGTTTCCAGTTCGTAATGATGTGCCCTCTGAAGATGGTCAATAAGAACCGAAACATGTAAGGGAGTCCATGATTTATTTAAACCGTCTTGTAGTGCATACACTCATTTATCTCCTTCTCTCCCTCGCACTACATGTTTCGGCATAATAATGCCATCTTCAGGTGCTTACTTATCCACGCCAAACTAGTTCATTGCATGCCTTGTTCTCATATTAAAATAACTAAAATATGTATCTATCATATACATTGTCAAACGTTAAAAATATTAAAATTGTTCAGGATACCACATCACTACGTCGCACCTCACTACGCCAGTCACGCCCATTCTCCTCTGTTGGAGCACTCCTTCACTATCATGTGTGTGTCTGTAACGTGAATTTTTTATTCATTAATACCGCGTATTAATAATTTTTCATTTAGTAAAAACTTATGTCACATTGGACGGAGTGGTTTGTATTTATAAAGTGTATTTGTTAGTACTATAAAAAATTCACACAAAAACACTATGAATTCATATTGCTCAATGACACTATTCAAGAACTAGTACCAGTATTCTGGTACACCTGAAGATGACCCAAGAAAAGGGTCAAAACATGTAGCATTACCACCAACAGCTAATAAAAACAAATGCTGACACAGCAATGTCTATTTTGTCTCTTTCAGAATTACTGTTGTATAGTGTCCCATTAAGTACCTTTTGTAAAATGATCTGTGTACAATATATTACAGACATGGCAAATATTCAAGATATTTGATATATTTTAGTTTTATTTGTTCCTGGTTCATTTAATTCTTTCAGCTGCTACAACTTTACAGTGCTGAATGCTAGGACTAGTGAATAATGAATGGAAAATGATGTGGACAAAAGTGGCTGTGGACTTATTCACACTACAGTCCTATCATTCACCTGGAAAGACAGAAAAAACACAAAATCCTCCATCAGGATAACCAGACTCTGGACCCACAACTTCCTGAAAATGAAGCAGGAATGGTAACTTAAGACATTTTGTTACAATTCCACACAGTGGAGGTCTATCCCTGAGAAACTTTTGTAAAACACAAAATAGACTCTCTAATCAGAGGAATTATTTCACTGGTACTGTAAATTTTTTTGATAGCCTGTTATTTCTTACCCCATTTTAAGTTCATGTGTGACAGCCAATCAGAAAACATATCTTACCTAGAATTTTAAGCATTAGCTGGTAGGTTTCCTTACAGATGCTCAGAACTTGGGCTGTAATGTAATCTGATATTTGAGGCGTATAGTCTTCTCCCATCTTCAACATCTTAAGAGAAGAAATAGCATTAGTATACATGCTTCTTTCTAGCATGTATAAAATACATTTTTAGGTTATTTTATCATCACACAGTAACTCATATCGTTACATCATCGTTAGAAAGTTACTAGATTCTGTTTTTGACATATGATAGGAATCAAAATTATCATATGGAGATCTCACAGGACTTTTCTTCTCTAAGGTTATCCTATTCAAGATGTGACATATCCTCAAGATATTTTATAGAGGTAAAGGTAAGGTGAAGCTATCTTGTAACAAGCTGTACAGGCCCATAGGATTATAACAAGTTGAAGCTCCAACATTTTCTAGATAATTGGCCCACAGATGGCGTGAGGTTGTCAGCCGTACACGCCAAGCTGTCCCTGTAACTGGCCGTGGAGGGCCACAGAGTTGTGAGACGTTGAGGCTCCCACATTTTCTAGACCAGTGGTATTCAGCCTTTTTTGTTCGCGTACCCCCAGATATAATTTCTCTCCGACTTCATACCCCCAAAGTTGTTGGTGTATAATTGAAGTTAGAAAAAGTAAAGATATCCCTGTAACACACTGTGAAGGCCCATAGGGTTGAGAGACGTTGAGGGTGTCACATTATCTAGACAATTGGCTCAAAGATGGCAGTAAGGTTGTCAACCTTGCGTTCCAGCCGCACTTTATTCCCCAGGAAAATACAGTCTATTATCTGCATCTAAAATAAATTACATCCAAAATAATACTCACCTCCAGCTATTGTCAAGGTCAAGAAAATGTGGATCCATAGATCCACTCCCCCATACGCCTTCATGGTATAGTGCTTAATTAGTGAAGAACAGGGACAACTTTACCTTATGCATCCAAAACAATGTATTAAATAATAAGTTTCAAATGAGAAAACAGGCAATCAGGCTATTAAATAACAAATATATTATTGCCTATCATATAAAATTAAATAAAGGAACAAAGTTATTTTAGCACAGTAAAAATTATATGATTACATATTTTATCAATTATTAATGTGGTTCTGACTTGTTATGAGATGACTAAGCTTGTTTCTGGCACACCAGCACCTCAATTCAGGAATGACTTTTAACTTTACATACCGCATAAGATATCTTTGCATACCCCAGGTTGAAGACCACTGTTCCAGATAATTGGCTCACAGATGGTGATGAGGTTGTCAGTCTTACGCACAGGCCACCCTTTACCCCCAGGAAGATTCCTGTTACTCATTTCTGTTAAGAGGCTGAGTCAACCCCATGGCCATAGTGTGGCTGGAAGAATTAGGTCAATTGAAAAATCCAATGGCCTAACTGCAAATTGAACCCATGACGCTCCAGCTGGCATCACAGTGCCTCAACCATGCTACTGTGTGACCCCGTTTTATAAAGACAATGCATAAATAAGGTCAAGAGCATCAGATAATATGGAGTGATATAATTTATACTCCTGGAGCTTCATAATTTGAATGCTGCATTAAAAATGACAGGGTGATCAAATAAAGGATGAGTTGGGCAGGACATGTAACATGCATGGAAGAATTAGGTACAGATATTAGAGTAAATGATCCTAAAGAAATAGGACAGCAGGGTGTGGACTAGATTAATCTGGCTCAGGATAGGATAATTGACAGTACTTTACGGATGAGGCACTGAACTTTCAGGTTCCATAAATAACAGGAACTGTGACAAGTTGAGCAACTTTTAGTTTCTCATTAGTTAATTAGTACTGACAGGGTTGAAATCAAACCATGGATGATGGGATGAAGACATGTGGCATGCACGGGAGAGAAGTGTATGCCAGGTATCAGCAAGAAAACCTAAAGGACAGAAACCAGTAGGAAGACTTAGGCATAGATGGGAGGATAATAATTAAATGGATCTTAAAGAAAACGGTGGGAGGGTGTGCACTGGATCTACCGGGTGCAGGAAAGGGACCAACAGCATAAATTTTTGGGTACCATAAAACATGGGAAATTTCTTGGATAACAATCAACTTTTAGCTTCTGAAGGATTCTGCTTTGTACAGACAGGTTTCAAATAAATAAGAAACAATATCAGAATAACAAACTAAAGTACGTCTCAGCAGCATCCAGACCGACTCTGGGACCCACCCACCCTCCTATCCGATGGGTACTGGGGACTCTTTCCCCTGGGGGCCGGTAAAGTAGCACGGTGCATGAAGCTGACCACAGACCTCCATCTAATGCCAAGGTCAAAAAAGGTGGAATTATACCTCCAATCCTCTGTACATCTTCATGGCACAGTGCTTAACTAATTAAGCAGATGGACAAATTTACCTTTACCTTTTAAATTAAAGTAAGCTATCACAATATGACATTCCTGTTAAATCACTAATGGGTCTTTAAAGTATCATGCATATGGATTTTATTTTACAATACTGTGAAAGGAAAATGTTACCAGAAGATGCTAAATTGGAGGCAATGTCACAGACTGTAGAATAACAGAGCTAATTAAATGACTACCTGATTCCATGAAGCAGTCTTTCCTTGAAAATCTAACAGCCAAAAAGTTCAACACTAACTACACAACACAAAGGTTCAGGGCAGCTACCACCAAAATATTAACCTATTCAGAAGAAGCTGGTCTACCTCCTCACACCATCCCGTTTTAAGATCCATCTTCAGCTTACCCTCCCATTCATGCCTACATGCCCTGCTCACTTCAGCCACCTTGATTTTATCCCTGTAGTAACATCTGATAAAGAGTACAAACTTTGAAGCTCCTCATGTGGTAGTTTTCTCTGGTCTCTGTTATGTCCTACCTCTTAGGTCCCAAATATTCTCTTCTCTGTCACAGTTTCTCAATCAGAATGGGCCAAAATGGGGAAAAATATGGTACAAGCAACATACGCCAAACCTACCTTAAAGGCAATAATATCCTTTTCTTTAGGGGCCTCTTTAAGGACAGGGTACTCCAAAAAGTTTGTCTTTTTATCAGCAGTTTTTATTTCGTCTCTGCTTTCCACATCAGCATTAGACAGAGTTTCTTGAATGGCACCATCTGCAGTTACCAAATTCTTCTTACGCTGATACACACGTGGTGCTGAGAAATTTTCAAAGGCAAGAAGTTTGGCAAACACATGATTATTTCCAGAAGACCCACTGCATTGTAAGTCGCCACACTGTGAATTGTCTACAGCCTGCATGTCCCACTTTGTTGAGGTTTGCTGATCTGATGATAAGTGTTTCAGTTTCCCTACTTCTCTCAGATTTAAGTCTGAGGAAACTGCATCCACATTAGTGGATGTTACTAATGGCTCCAAAATGGTCAGCCCACCACTGACATGACTAGTGCATGTGTGTTCACACTCTGTCTGAGATGTAATGCGATCAGTTTCAACCTTATCATTGCCTACGTCGATACTGACATCACCATTCTTATCCGAAAATCTGATATGCGTGCGGGGCGCAGCAACACTGCGAATGAAGGTTTCCCTTTTGGGATTCACAATATCTGCTGAAGACTCTCTCTTCATTTTTCTGTCTTCTAGTTTATGGTTCTTCTTGTGTCGCCTGGTCCGTTTCCTCCTACTTTTAGTGCCTGTCTCTCTTGTCATTAAACATTCATTATCTTGAACAGTTTCTGCATTTATGCCCATTTTGAGGTTGCTCACACTATTCTCCTGACTTTCTCTCACTGGTATGTCTGGCCTTGTTATGATATGCTCAGATGTTCTTTTAACATTCATAATAGGATCAGAAACATCATCATTTAATGCATCTTCACCATTTTGTTTCCTTCTGCATATTTTCCTGTCCATTCCTTCTTCTTCCTGTACTAAATGCTGAATGTCCTCTACTACCACCTCACATCTCAACTGTTCCATACTACACAGTTCACTTGACACATGACTCCTATTATCTTTGCTTTTCCTCTTTCTCTTCTTATCCTTGTCCTTTGGATATTTATCACTCTCATACAGATTTTGCAGCGGCTCGCACCCATGTACACTTTTGTTAACTGCACTGCAGCTGTCATCTACATCCCCTGAAGCATTGCGTTTCCTCTTTTTGATCTTTTCTTTCAAGTATATTCGATTATGATCACTGTTATCTTCTTTACATGGAGCATTAGCATTTTCTCTGTCATCATGGAAGTCCCAGCTTCGTTCAGTGACCCTAGAACCAACAGTGACATGTCAGCTGAACTGCAAGTAACCGTAAAAGACAAGGTTTCTCAACCTTCGGCACACAGCAGGGCACACTGCACCACACGATCCCAAACTTCGTAACAATGCAACCCTGGCATAACCAAAGCTGCTGATGCCATCAAGATTAATGAAACAAAAATCCAGCACACTCACTTTGACCAGTGTCAGCTGATTGCAGTTACACTTTCAAAAAACACCTTACTAAATTTTAACGGCTTACTGATTTGTCAAAGCTGTGTGTGGATGCAGCTGTAGACATTCAGCTTGAGAAACCATGTACTACACTACAGTTCTGCATCTCATTGTATATACTGTGGAACCTCGCTTAAGGAGCACCTCTCATAACGAGTAATTCGCATAACGAGCTAAACAAATTGTAAAAAAATGACTCGCTTAACGAGTGATGAGAGGGGAAGTCCCGGATTGTGCACCTGCTACATCAGTCTGTGTTTAGCACTTGTTCCGCTAGCATCTTAGTGTCGCCTGTGATCACACATTTTTCCAAACTTGTGTTCAGACATATTACTTGTGATTTTTGTTTGTGCAAAGTTTAATAACCCTTGCAAAAATGTCCCCGAAGAAAAAACCGCAAAAAGACAGCCATGAGAGAATAAAAATAACTGTAGAAATGAAACGTAAAATCACTGAAAAGCGAGAATGAGATGTGAGCATGGCTGATCTAGCACACACATACAATCAGTCTACATCAACGATTTGCATGATTTGGAGTTGCATCGTGTTTCACAGCAAGAAGTTGTGGAGGAGAGTTTGTCAGAGGAGGAGGAGGAGGAGGAGGAGGTAACAGCAAAGCAACAATCTTCTGGCACAATAAGAGAAATGCTGAAAGCATGGAAACTGTTGCATCATACACTGAGAAGCATCACCCTAATAACACAGTGGCTATGCGCACTACAAATTTATTTAATGAAAATGCTGTGTTGCATTTTCACCAAATTTTGAAGCCTTTGCAAAAACAAATGTCTCTGGACAGCTTTCCGGTATATGTATCATAAATAATAAACTAATTATTTCGATTTTTTTTTGTTTTGTTTTCTGCAATTCGAATTCCCATTCCAGGTTGGTTCATTCCACACAGAAGAAAAGATGAAGATGATTCACGCTCCTTAGCAATGTATATAATTAAAAATGTAAATGTCCGTTTGAGTCTTACTTAAGATCTCCGAAACTTCTTCACCGATCACTTCGAAATTTTGATACAACGTTGCATTCGAACACCCGCGTGTTTCTGTGTGCCTATTATGTAGATGTCACACCTGTGACAGGTAAAAACAGGTAAAAACCTGCCACATGTTCCGAATCCAGCAGTCATTTCAATTGTAATGCTAGAACAGTTAGCGTATACTTCCATCGAAATGCAATAACAGTTTGCCATTGCTAGCATTTCCTAAGCAACGGATGAAACTAACTCTTTGATAAGGTATTCCTTATCCCATCCGAGCGCTGGCTATATGTATAAGAGAGTTTGGGTCCGGCGACTGTTCAGTATCATGAGTGTCTCGAGTATCACAAGAGATTCCGAGTGAAATCACAGCATCCGCCGAGGTATAAATAGCCCACCTTGGACAAGAAGCAGTCAGTCTCGGGGCAGATGCCAAGGGATACGGAAGAGAGCCTGGAGGTAAGCGCCGAAGGAGTTAGTCTTGGGATAGCCAATGCCGAATATAAACAGTTTAGATTTATTTTCATCTTGATTTAATTTTTCGTGTGACATTGCCTTGGAATTGGGCTGTGTCGTTTTCATCTATCTATCTATCTATCTTATGTAAATAAAAATGTAAATGTTGGTTTTCTCTTGTTGAAGATCCATGGAAACACAATAACAATGGGCCATTGCTAACAACAGATCGTGCCCTCTATTGCGTCCGAAACCAGGTTATAATAGTCCAGCTCCGAAGAGTTTTAAATAAAAATGTAAATGTTCGTTTTCTCTTATCGAAGATCTCCGAAAGTTCTTCACCGATTGCTTCGAAATCCAGCAGTCGTTTCAATAGTAACGCTAGAACAGCGTATACTTCCATTGAAACGCAATAACGGTGGCCCGTTGCTAGCATTTCCAAAGCAACAGATGAAACCAACTCTTTGATAATGTATTCCCTATCCCGTCCTAGCGCTTCGAAATTTTGACTCAACGTTGCAGTCACAGCAGTCGTTTCAATAGTAACGCTAGAACAGTTAGCATATACTTCCATGGAAACGCAATAACAGTGGCCCGTTGCTAGCATTTTTTTCATCAGTGCAATCGATCTGCTTTAGTTCATTCAAATAACGCCTCGCAGAAGATCAAACTTGGGTCGTCATACTCACCGAGTATTTGCAAATCAAACTGGAGAAGAACGGGCAGACTGAGCCACAGCAAGGCGTGGCCGGGCACAGTTAGTGTATATATAATTTTCTTTGAATAAACGTTATACATAAAATTTTTTGAGTATTTTTTTCAGCATGGAACGCAGTATCGTATTTTACATTAATTTATATGGGAAAAATTTGTTTCGCATTATGAGTAAGATTCTGGAACGAATTATGCTCGTTAAGCGAGTTTCCACTGTATTATGTTCATACTTCTCATCACACTGCATTATGCTTTCCCTTTGTCTACAACTTTCATATCATGCAGTTTAAAAATATATTTAACAGTTTTAGGGTGCATCCTGTTGTGTTTTATATACAATATTCTTTATATACCACTATATAAAAAAGAGGACAAGACTAGCATGTCAAACTACAGGCAAATCTCACTGCTAACTACTTTCTCTAAAGTACTTGAAAAAGTTATGCACAATAGGTTAAACCATTATTTTCAGAGTAACAATATACTAGTCCCAGAACAGTTTGGCTTTAGGAATTTCCATTGATAATGTAGCCTTTAAGTTAACAGTGTGTTGAAATCTATTAATAAAAAAATGCATGTCGGTGGAATATTCTGTGACTTGGCAAAGGCTTTTGACTGTATAAATCATGATTATTTTTTAACTAAATTACATTTTTTTGGCATTCAAGGAACAAAGTTAAGTTGGTTCAGATCCTACCTAACAGATAGAAATAAAATCATCAAATTCAATCCAAAGTACCTACTCAAACTGAGGAATAATAAAAGATGGAGTTCCACAGGGGTCAATTTTGGGGCCTTTGCTTTTCATAATTTATATAAACGACCTCCCTCCTACACTAAGGACCTCATAAATACTATTTGCAGATGACACTAGTGTTATAGTTTCTGGTAAAAATTTAGATGATTTCTGCATGTTATCAAGCAAGGTTCTTTTGCAAGTGAGTAAATGGTTTTCTGCAAATAAGCTGTCCCTGAACCCAGAAAAAAACAAATGTAATAAAATTTATAACAAAAAACTCACCACAATATCCATAAAACATAGGACATGATGATAAATACAGTATAATAAATAAATATAGTATATAGAACAGAGAGTACTCCTTGGCTTGCAAATTAATAATCATTTAAACTGGAAAAACCACCTGGATCAGTTGATTCCAAAGCTAAGTAGAGCATGTTATGCAGTTAGATTCATGTTACATATTAGTAACATTTGACACTCTCAAATCAATTTATTTTGCTTTCTTTCACTCATTAATGAAGTACGGAATAATTTTCTGGGGTAATTCATCTGACAGTAAAAAGGTATTTACATTGCAAAAGAAAATTGTTAGAATTATGATGGGTGTCAAATCTCATAATTCCTGTAGAGATCTATTTAAGAGACTACTGATCTTAACTTTTCCTTAACCAACCCTTCTCTGCTTGCCACCTGCCTTTATGATGGTTTCTTGCTTGGCTTATTCTTCGAACCTGAATTTCATTAACCTTAAGCAAACAACACTTATATCTGACTTACAGGAAAACTGTCCCACTGTAAGCACACATGGCTTCTGTTGAGTTATGATTTCTGCAGTTCCATTTATTTTGAACAAGTGTAACCTAACCAAAACTAAAACTGTACAATATCAACAACACTAATATCAACACACACAATTCTATATTTGAAGAATTATACAAAATTTATACAACATAACACTATACCCTCGCCCACCTCTGCCCACTCTTCACAACCAGGGCACATAAATACAGACGTAAACACACCATATCTGCACTAGTGAAGACGACATCACAGAAGGAGCATGCAAGTATAAAGCAAACCAACATAACACTAATAACAACAATAAAAAAAAAATATTAACATGTGGCATTCTATAGATTACAGATTGCAGACGTAGCAAACAACAGGCTAACATACATAAAAACAAGCTGCTGAAATAAAACATCTGGAATAATCACATAGCTCTAAACAAGTGGACGCCCCTCACGAGGTAGAATACGATTTTATAAACATAATGAGAAAATTTTAATGGATTTAAATTTATTTGTATTTTATTTTTGAGTGGACTGCAGCACATGGTTTTAGTGCACATCAGAGCAGTGTAGCAGTACTGATACATTGAGACACCTGAAGATGGCAATCTATGACCGAAACATGTTGTGTTAAGTGTTAAATGGTCAAATTGGAGGAATAAGAAAAAGGTACAATTGTTGCATTATTGACAGACTGTGATACACACAGACATTAACTACTGACCCAAATGTTACTTTATTCTGACACGTGTCAAGTTTATGATAAAAAAAAATATTCTATTAAACATCCTTTTCTTTCTACCCAACAAAAACTATAAGCAAAGATGAATATGCTGCAACTTTCAGAACTTAACACTCATACTTGTGTAATATCTACTGCTGTTATGAATGACCAGCTCTTACTGCATTACATTCATTTAATTTAAAGTTACACACTCATATCTCTGAACTAAAAACATGCGTAAGAACTTTATATTCATAGAGCAATTTACTTTCATGTGAACGACTGAAGTGTGTACAAACAAAATCCAAAAACGAATCCAGTTTATATTAATATAACGTTTAATATTAAAAACATCATTGCCTGCACAACTAATCATCAGCAACAACGCCTCAATAAAATTCTTACCAATACATAATAACTAAATTCCAACTTAAATATATCAACATAATATTACCAACTTAAAACAATGTTGATGTATTTGAATGTGTAACCAAAACAACATTCGTAGCTGTGTGGTATGCATGAATTTATAGTTTCCCATAACCTCTGACAGAATGTTAAGTAATTCAAATGTGTTTATTACAATAGCTTAATATCACTCTGCTCGTCGTCGTAACTTACTTCAGAACATCGTCTGGACATAACAAACGCACATTCTCAGACGGAGGAACATAAATCCTATCTATCACCAATGCAATTGGTTTATCAACATTAAGAAAACTTTTGACGCGACTTTCTATGTCGTGTATATATCTATCACGTAGTAAATCAACATAGATAAAGAAACAGCTTCTAATATCCTTGCATACTTCTCTTGCATCAACGCAAACACGAAAACCCAATTCATCCGCCATTTCTATTTCGTATCAATCCTTTATGTTAAAATTTCACCAATCAGGACCCACCACAAAAATGGCGTATCAGGGCAGCCAATAATTCATTGGTCACAAAATTTCCCGCAACATTCACAAATTCATGTATTGTAAAAACAAAAAAGTAGAGGTATCCCTGCAACAGGGCGTGGAGGTCCATAGGGTTGTGACATGTTGATGTTCCATTTTCTAGACAATCGGCTCATAGATGGCGGCAAGGTTGTCAGACCTATGCACCGGTCCCCTTTACCACCAATAATACTCCAACAATATTCCTGGTACCCATTTCTGTTAGAGGCTGAGTCGATCCCAGGACCATGGTGTGGCTGGAAGGTTTAGGTCAATTGAAAAAATCCAATGACCTCATTAGGACACGAACCCGCGACCTTCTGGCTTGTAGCATAGTGCCTTAACAAACTACCCTACCACATGACCACATGCAATTCATTTCATAACTGATGCATTTGAATTACTGTAATATTCATTTTCTATTGCTTGAAACATAATGACATTATATTTACAACTTGAAACAAGTTATAAAAATTATTCTGTTAAAGTCTATCATGAACATACAATGCACACAACACATATACCACATCATTACAATACTTGACATTACCTATTATGGCATACCTTCCAATTACATTATCCAAAATATTATTCTTTACATATTACTACAACTCAAATATATATTCATGTGGCTTAGTCAAGTCTCTTTAAATTGAATCGCTGTAAGAGCAACTCTCATATTGTTTTGCATTACAAAGCAAATTCAACACATTATATTTAAGAGTTCTATATATTAAATGTGTATAGGGACATGAATCAAAAGTTCAGATCGCTTTGTGAAGGTTTCACTGCACATTTCACATGTAAATTCAACTTTCACTTCTTTCCCATCTTCTAACAATGCAGCAGAGTCAATATTAAAATCACTCTCTGACTTGACAATGGCACATTCGTTCCTATCTTTAGGAAGAGATTCAACATTTTTTTGTTTCAAATCGCGTACAGAGTGTATAACAGTTTTTGTCAACTTAGATTTCCCAACAGGAAAAGTTGCTGTAGGAAGTTTTGCCATCTTGACATTGTGGTAATTTACATTCTTTGTCCTTGGTCCCACTCTGCTTACATCTCGGCCAGCTTTCAAAGCTGACTTTGGTTTTGAAGTTACAGCCTTTAAAGCTGCAAGTGTACTCACTGTCACATTCTTTGTTCTTGGCCTTACTCTACTTTCACCAGCAGGTCTCGTACTTTTCACAAATCCTCCGGATGACAGGTCTGGTACATTAGTTCTGGACTTTGTTCCACTATGTTTCCCATCCACCGCTGATTTCCGTTTGGGTTTGTGCTTCTCCTTTTCAACTTTCTCCTTCCCAGGTTCCGATTTTGAGTGGCTAACAATCGAATTGAAATTTTCAATTACAGACTCAAAACTTTTTACAACTGATTCAAAATTTTCACCAGTATTTGACTTGCCTTTTTGTCTAAACTTCTTCTTGGCAATCTTATGCTTGTAGTTGGTCCGATCATCTGAATCTGGCTCCCCATCAGCAGATGTGTCTCCAGGAGTCGTACCCACAGCACTAGACAGCAATGTGAGCTCATGAGGGTTCAGCTTGCGACGGCGCTTGTATTTACGCGGCCCCAACTTGGGCATCCGTTGTTTTGCAGTATTTTCATCACTGTGCTGGATCAGATGTGCACATAACTGCTCAGAACTGCTGAAAGCTGCCGCACACACTTTACAGACATATACTGCTGCGTGAGTCCCAGATGTCCTTGGCTCTGGACCCGAATGATGTGAACGGATATGTTCTCTTAGTACCACCTGTAAAACAAATACAGCTGGTGCCATCACATTCATGTACATATATCATCAAAACTGGAATAAGATATTCATTAGGCTGTTCAGCATGGAAGATCATTACAAATGGTTATGTGGGAGACAAAATTGTGGTTCTTTTCAGGCAGGTACATTTCATGTGGCCAAACTTTGCAGCCTATGAAGCCATCTCATTCCAGTGTCCTGTATGAATATTAAAACTTAAAAATTTAGTAACTACCATACAGCCCTGCATTCTCACATTCAACAAAATCAACTTACCCGCTGGTTGAAGGCACGAGGACACACAGCACATACATAAGGTTTCTCTCCTGTGTGAATGCGTTCATGTTTGCGTAATGTGCCACCATCAGCAAATGCCTTCCAGCAGAAGCGGCATCCATATGGACGCTCACCAGTGTGGATTCGCGCATGAATCTGTTGACTGCTTCGCGACCCAAAGGTTTTTCCACATTCTGCACATGAAAACTGGCGTGCTGATGGTTCTTTGTTATGGCTGTGACGATGGTTTATAAGTGCACGTCCATCAGGGAATTCCAGCCCACATTCTTCACAAGACACTGCTTTGTCTCTGTGAGAAACCATGTGTCTATGAACAGAATACACACACAATCTGTGAACAGACCTGTGCAACATCTATGGAGCAACATTAAAATTCTAGTCTCAAGACATGCTAGTATTCCATCAAGATCATCTGTGACAGAAGCCTTCACTTGCCTAACCACATGATTAATAAGGAGTCTTTCAAACCCACCACTTTCTTCTCAGACAATTAATATGAGATTAATGAAATATGGATAACATTACATCACATAATTACAAAGACATAACGACTATCTTCAATACATCATAAACATTTTAGTGTACAATTCCTGTATCTCCCTTGCACTTCTATACCTCCAGAAAATCCACAGTATACAATTTCAAAATAAATTTAATGAATGAGCAAGAGACAGCAGCATATGAAAATGTCTGAAAACAAAACAAATGGAACTATATGTATATATATGTACATTTACCAAAGCAAAATTAAGAAGAAAATTGATGATTATGTCCACAGTCATCTTTGGGTGAGGACTATAAAAATATGATAGTAAATTTCATAGATTCTCACTATGTCAGAGGTACAAGAAAATCTCCAGAGATCTGAACCATTGTCATGTTTATTATTTACAAGAAGAGATAAAGTATGTTTCATACAAAATTTATAGGCATATGAATGATCATCTCTGTAACAAACCACACACACCTGCATGTAATTGCTATCAAATGAACACACAATGTCTAATTTGTATACATACCCAAGCCCCCCCTAAGCCTTATTTTGGCATCCTCATTATCAGAATACTGAACAAGCTGACACAGCAGTAACCACTCCTGACTTGTGTTCAGGATGCTCTCCGTTCGAAACTCAGCCAGGACACTCACTATCCTGACTGATGTTTCCTGTGGTTTTCCTCAGTCCCCCCTATACAAAATCTGGGATAATGCCCCAATTAAGCAATGGCCTTCCAAATCATTTCAATTCATACACCATGCTACTATTTAATGCTATATAGTCTAGCTACTGAGAGCATCATACACTAGCAAAAAAAGAAAAACACCATCATCAGTTGATTTTCATACAAATCAAGGATCCTGCTGGGGGGGGGGTTCAGCACTTGCAACGATATGAATACAAACATGCCTGCTGATAAAGGTAGAAAGGTAAAGTTGTCCCTGTTCTTAACTAATTAAGCACTATACCATGAAGACATATGGGGGAGTGGCCAACAATCTGAAGCCAGAAATTCGCACCAAACGCTGAGGCCTATTGTCGAAGAAAGTGTTGTTGTTGCATGACAATGCACGCCCACATATGGCTCGCCAGACCACTGAAACCATTAACCATTTGGATTTTGAGGTGCTGGAACATCCTGCCTACAGCCTAGATCTTGCCACTTCTATCATCTCTTTGGAACACTCAAAGTTGATTTACGAGGTCATCAATTTTCTATGGATAAAGAAGTGCGGGAAGCAGTGCATAAATGGTTGCATGACCAACCGAAAACATTCTTCTTGGAGGGAATATGCAAGCTTGTGGACCGCTGGACCAAGTGCATCAACAAGGAAGGAGATGGTTGCACGACCAACCAAAAACCTTCTTCTTGGAGGGAATACACAAGGTTGTGGACCGCTGGATCAAGTGTATCGAAAAGGAAGGAGACTATGTAGAAAAATGACGTACTTGTTCAATCCCTACTTTTGTGTATATAAACTGGAAAAACAAGAGTGGGGATAATTTTTTACTTCCCTGCATACAAGGTGGTTCAAATATGACCGGGACTGATTTGTGTGTAAACAAGCCGCACCGCGCAGCAGCTTTGCGACCTTGAGAGAGTGTAGTCACAATCTCCACCCTCCCACCTGTTTGGGTTAGAACCTGTTCAGTCCTGTCTGGGAGTTGCTAGAGTGATGAGCGAACAGAAGGTACCGCGGAGCGTGGAACAACGCATTGTGATCAAATTCCTCATTGGAGAAAAGTCCCGTCTGCTGAAATTCACCTCAGACTCCAACAACAGTACAGGGAAGAGTGTATCTCACGGACCCGTGTGTTTGAGTGGTGTAAGTGCTTCAGAGAGGGCAGAGAGCGTGTGGAGAATGAACTGCATGATCATCAGCCGTGAACATCCATCACCGAGCCAAACATTGATTGTGCAGATGTGCTTATTCGTTAGAATAGGCGCATCACTATCAAGGAACCTGGAGCAATGCTGTCCATCAGTGTTGGTAGTGTAGAAGACATCATGAAATACCACCTGCACTATCACAAGGTGAATGCACAGTGCGTACCACGCACTTTGACAGACATGAACAAAATGGTGTGCATGCAAGCTGCCAGTCGTCTCCTACAGCAGTTTGAAGACGAAGGTGATGCATTTTTTAAGTCTATAGTGACCACCGATGAAACGTGGATGCACTACTTCATTCCTGAGTCCCAGCAGTCATCACGCGAGTGGCGGCATACCAGTTCTCCCAAACCCAAGAGAGAGCAGAGGAGCCGTTCGGCAGGAAAAGTGATGGCAACATTCTTTTGGGACTGGCAGAGGGTTATCCATGTAGACTTTCTGATAGATGCCAGAACAGTCAATGCAGCTTATTACTCAGACCTCCTGACAACAGACGTGAAGGAAAAGATCCGATCCAAGCAGAAGACAAGTGGAAAGTGGGTAGCCTTCCTTCAAGACAATGCATGCCCCCGTACGGCCAAAACAATGGAAACCCTCCAGAAATTGGAATGGAACCTTCTGACACAACCACCGTACAGTCCTGATTTGACCCCAAGTGATTTCTACCTGATTTATTTAAACTGTCTTGCAGTGCATACATTCATCTATCTCCTCCTCTCACTTGCACTACATGTTTCGGCACAAAAATGCCATCTTCAGGTGCTTACTCAATCCACGCCAAACTAGTTCATTGCATGCCTTGTCCTCACATTAAAATAACTAAAATATATATCTATCATATACATTGACAAATGTCAAACGTTAAAAATATTAAAATTGTTCAGGATTCCTCATCGCTACGTCGCATCTCACTACGCCAGTTACGCCCATCCTCCTCTGTTGGAGCACTCCTTCACTATCGTGTGTGTATTGTGCTTCTGTTGTGTCTTGCTCCTGTGACTACGTGTGTTATACTGTTGGGCCTGCTGGGTACCCACATGTGCTGGGCACATACCCATACATACAGTTGACTCCGGAGGGGAGTATGTTGAAGACTGACATGTGCAAATAAGTGCCTGGCAATTATGGTTTTTAAAAAAAAAATCAATCCGTCATATTTGAACCACCTTGTACATGGTTATTACACAACTAGACAGTACAATGAATACAACAATAATAAAAGTCATCTATTTAGATTTAAGAATACAAAATAGCATCCAATTGCTTTTTTTCTATTATCATCATCATTTAAGTAATTTCATTTATATCACCACATATAATTATATTATAACTCTCACAGCATAGTTTATGTAAAATCATATCTAGTTTCTCCCAAAAATTTATAAAATTACCTGACGGAGACCTATAAATTGTCAATATACAAAATTTTTCCTCTCCTAGTGAATTCATAAGCGAATGAATTGCACACGCCTCAATATCTTTTTCAGTGGTGAATTCTTCTAAATTGATGGTGCTATATTTTAATTTGCTATGTACAAATATGCCTGTCCTTCCTTTTTGGAAAAATTTCCTACAATATTTTACACCCAATGTATAATCGCTCAAATATGTCAACTGAAGTTCAAAATCTTTTAAATGATGTTCAGACATACATACGTATAACATGCAGTGGATCATGGGCTAAATGACAATAAAGTTCATTCAGTTTATTTCTTAATCCTCTGATACTTTGATGAAAAACCTTCAGAGATGTATTTCATATGAACTGGTTATCCATTAGTCCATCACCCATACAAAATCTTTAATTCTATTTACCAGGTTTCTTTTTTGTCTCTTTGATACTCTAACTTCCTCATTAGCAATTTCACTATTTTCCTCATTTACAGGATTCTTTTTTACCTCTACCTGATTTAAATCTTCATAAACTTCCTCCCATTTTAGCATAATGGGAGACTCTTTATGCTTTATCATAAATGCTTTTATATTTTGCCCTAAAAGTATAGCCATCTTTTCTCTACCAGAAACATTCAAGTGCATACCATGACATGTGAATTCACTTCTACTCAGATTTGCATAAATTGCAATCACATTTCTATTTGACTTCATCATTTTTTGTATTTTTCTATTGAATACTTCAGTTTCCTTATTTACAGAGGAAGATACTTGTAAATCATGTTTATGAGGAACAGTTACAATAAATATATTAGTAACCTGTGTAGCTGATACAAATTTCTTCAATTTTTTAAGTCCAACATTAGAGTCATTCTTGCTGATATCATTAGTGCCTCCACACACTATCACTGCATCATTTTTACCTAATGTTCTTATTCTTTTTGTGTTTGATTTTATTATACGTGGTGCAATCCAAAAGTTCGCGAAATATATTAATAAAAACTATTACATCTTACCTAGATCTTATTCTGCACCATCACCTTCAAAGTAGTCCCCTTGGGAGCGCATACACCAATCCCAGCGTTCCTGCCACTTTTCAAATGCATCCTGGAAGTCTTTCTTTGTTAGGGTGTTTAGTACCGTCTGTGTTTCCACTTGAATTTCCTCAACTGTATCAAATCTTTGCCCCTTCAACTTGATTTTCATCTTGGGGAAGAGAAAGAAGTCACATGGAGCTAAGTCTGGCGAGTACGGTGGGTGGGGAACAACGGCCATCTTGTTTTTAGCCAAAAATTCCTGCACAATGTAAGCCGTGTGTGGTTGTGCATTGTCATGGTGGGGTACCCAGTTGTTCATGCGCCACTTCACTGGACGTTTTCTCCTCATGTCCTCCCTCAAACGCCTTAGAACATTGCGATAGAACTCTTTATTGACTGTCTGACCAGAAGGGACGAACTCCTTATGAACAATCCCGTCAATATAAAAAAAAACAGATCAACATGGACTTAATGTTGCTCTTGACTTATTAAGCTTTTTTTTTTTTTGGCAGAGGTGAAGAAGGGCTCTTCCATTGCGACGATTGCTGCTTGCTTTCAGGGTCGTAGCCATAAACCCAACTTTCGTCACCAGTGACAACCTTCGAAAGAAAGTTTGGATCCTCTTGAAGCTGTTGCTGAAGTTCCCTGCAGACTTCCAAGCGATGCTGCTTCTGTTCATTTTGCAGCAGTCGTGGCACAAACTTCACCGCAATCCTCCTCATGTTCAGTTCCTCTGACAAAATTTGTTGACATGTACCATAACTTAGTCCCAAGGTGTTACAGAGGTCTTGGATGGTCAGTCTACGATCTTGCAGAATCAGATCCCTAACTTTCGCACCATTTTCTGGTGTTCTGCCCGTTGACAGCCGTCCTGAACGATCGTCATCATCAGTCAATGTTCAGCCATTTTTAAAACGCTTATACCAGTTGTAAGTTTGTGTATGGCCTAAACTGTTTTCACCAAAAGCTTGCTTCAACATTTGGTGCGTTTCTGCAGCGGTTTTCCCAAGTTTGAAACAAGACTTTAAACAGACACGCTGCTCTCTCAGGTCAGTCATCGCAAAACCACAAACTCACGGAAACACAACAATGGAAATACGTTCACCAACAATAAACCCAACCACTCAACTCGATGCCACTTGCCACAGATTCAAGAAGGATGTGTGAGGAGATACCTAGCGGTATTCTGATGTGCTCATAACCATTCGCGCGCAAAATTCAAATTTCGCAAACTTTTGGATTGCCCCACGTATTTTCAAGCCTAGTACCTGGCAACACTGTTCCCATGTGGACTTCCTCCTCCTATCTCTCAGACAGAGACTGAATACTGTCACAGTCAGTGTTACTTTGTGACTGGTGGTTTACCACCATCAGTTCCTCTTGGTGCCAAGCCCCTTGAGGCTCAAGACCAGAGATTTCTTTTTGGCACCTGAACCATTGCAATCATAGTCCTTATGTAACATCTCCTCTGGCAAGAGGATGAGTTTGTATCTTATAAATAGGCTTCACCTTTATCAAGTGTATATATTGCACATATAGCATAGGTCTACATGGTTATGGGGAATGCCATTTCTTCCCAGGAAGCGGTCAGCCAGATGAAAGTAATAATTTGGAATCAAGAACCTCATATGGGGTTTGAGATGTGTCTCTGAGAGCAGAGCCACATCTACGTATACGCAAGTTTTGCAGCTGTTTACTCATTTTTTTTTTAAATTTTGCCATGCAATGCCATCTGTTCGCGAGTTGTGGCATTAAGATTCTTGAAGTTTCAGCTGTGGTTGTCTATAATTTCAAAGCGCAAGCATCGCTGCATCATGTATTCTGACCTTGAATGTAACAGTACTGTTCTGACACTTGTCAGAAAAGGGTGGTTGAACACAGAGCCAACATCAAATTTTGTTAGAAGTTAGGCAAAACAGCTGGAGAAACATACAAAATGATGAAAAGTGTGTACAGTAGTGACTGTTTGAGTCGCTCGAACATTTTTCGATGGTATGCTGTATTTCTTGACAGCAGGGAGGACACTGAAGACGCTCCTCGTGCATCAAAGGCGAGAACAAGTCACATTGAAGAAAATGTGAAAAAAAAGTGACCAAAATCCTTGCATCAGACAGATGTGTTTCTGCAAGACTCATTGAGGAACTTCTGGGAATACAAAAAAGTACTGTGCATCAAATTTTGACTGAGGATTTGGGCAAACGGAAGGTGTGCGCGCGGTTTGTACCACACACACTGCAGGTGATTAAAAACATGGCAGAGTGGAACACTGCAAAGACATGTTACAGTCAGCCCAAAGTGAATTAAAATTTACAAAATAGATTGTTACTGGTGATGAGACATGGTGTTTTCAATATGAGCCTCTCACAAAGCAGCAGAGTGCAGCATGGTTGGGCCCAAAGAAGCCAAAACCAAAGAAAGTGCGCATGCAGAAGAGTCGAGTAAAGACACTGCTAACCGATTTCTTCAATTCCAACGGAATCATTCACAAGGAATTTCTGCCAGGAGGTCAAACAGTGAATTCTGATTATTATCTCAGAGTCCTCAATCGTTTGTGGGCGAGAATTCTTCGAATTCCACCTGAATATCAAGAGCAAGGTTCCTGGTCACTCCTCCATGACAATGCCCGACCCCACAAATTGAAGACTGTGCACGATTTTTTGGCCAGAAAATGGATCACAGTCCTTGATCATCCTCCATATTTGCCAGATTTGGCTCCAGCAGATTTCTGGTTGTTCCCAAAAGTTAAATTGGCAATGAAAGGAGGCTGTCACAACACCATCCAGGACATCCAAAGGGAATGTACCGCAGTTTTAAATGTGATTCCACAAAAGGAGTAAAATGACTGCTTTCAAAAACTTTTCAACCAATTCCAGTTATGTATTGATTTAGAAGGAGATTATTTTGAATAAAAAGAGTGACATTTTGAAAATAATTCATGTCTTGTATTTTTAATGAACACAACCCTAACAGAACCTGGACACACTGTGTATGAACTCTAGACTGAATATTGTCAAAGTCAAAGTCAAGGTTACTTTGCAATGGGAAGTTTACTGCCAATCAGTTCATCTTGGCATCAAGCTCCTTGAGACCCATGGCCAGAGATTCCCCCCCCCCAGTGAACCCTTGTGTTAATAGTCCTTATGTAACTTCCCCTTTGACGAAAGTATCCATCTGACATTTTCAATTGCTACTGGTCCTCACCAGCACAGACACTCAGGTCCAAGTCCCCTGGGACTCATGCTCATATTACACTGCCTCAGATTCAAGACTTACTCAACCCGAATGGCCAGGTCCCCATATTTGTATCCCCCCAGGAACAGGGTGGCCTGGTTATACCCCCAGGCACTGGGTTACCATTCCATTACCCACTACAACTTGCAGGGCTATGGTATTTGACCCCACCTCCGCATGGGAAACTGAATATTGCCTGCTTTGAACATCTACACAATACACTGGGGTGGACCAAAGAGAGAACATTAACCATAACACACAAAAGACATATGAGACGACCATTGCTAGCCAAGAACAGTAAATACATTGCTGCCATTTCTAGGCAACAGCCTTTATATTGTCACATATTTGGGGTTTGCATGACTAATAATAATGGGTTCTGGGTTGGACAATTGGATTTACTGACACCTTCTTTTACAATCACTCTTAATTACTATCAGTTACCACAGCTCACAATCAATGACCGACTAAAACTTGCTCCATTCCTTACTGGACTATAACTATCTTCTCTTTTAATCTTTCTTCTACTGCGACTGGTTTGGTTCTGATTTACGAATCACTCATTTCAGGTTTATGAATGATGACAGTAAGAGCGACAGTGAAACAAGTGTTGTTGCGTGGAAAGACATGACAGTGGGCGATGATGCATGTGGGGGAATGATGCCACCGAATAAAGCAATTGGGCCATCAAGAAGACAAGGAAGTACATGTGGTAATAAAACATAAAGAGAAAGTTTCAGAAAAATTTTGTGCCAAGTAAAAACACTGTAATGATGAATCAACAGTTGGTTTCAAGCGCAAAATAATTTTTAAAACTTATAATCCAAAAAAAAAGAAAAGAAAGAAAACAATGAAGTGGGGCATCAGATTATTTCCATTAGCTGAATGTGGCACTTGTTAAGTTCAGAGTATAATTCAAAATTATGGAAAACTTACAGGTGACGTGTGTAACTTGTACTCTGACAAACCATTCATTTCAAGGATAGTTCCTTCCCTGATGGCCAGACTATGACTCAGTGTGTCTGGTACTGAAGACTATCACCCTTCCATTGACAGATATCATAGCAGTGCTGAGTTGACCCATGAATTAGACAATCGAAAATGTAAGTTCAATTTATCTTTTTAAATTTATGCCCTTGTTGTACCAACTTTTCCAGCAAAACAGTTCACTTAGTGGCTCAGCAGGCATTTAAAAACTCCTGACGACCTGCCTGAAAAAATTTTTCTAAACGTGACAACCAGAAAGGCTTAAGGCTCCCTGATAAGGTGACAATAGATCCAGATGCATCACAATCATCCTGTGTTTTTCTTCTCCAAGTTGCACAGGCAAGCCCACTTGTCATATATTTTCCATCAAAGTAATTTCTGAGTTCCCTAAAATGTACATTAGGACACTGTATCAGATAATAGTTGAGAAAACTCAGGTGTTCTTGAATTAAACTCGTTGGAAAATATATTGATCAAAAATATATGTTTATAATATTGTTTTATTGACTTGCCTACGCATACACAATAAAGCTCTACAGTGAAAAGAAAATAAGTGATAAGTTATTCCCAGAATCTTTTGTTAATTTGAGAGTCTAACAATCTAAAACGCCTAATTTCTGTCCTGTAATTAAGCTCTGACACTTTCTCCTTTTGCCATAATGGTGGGACAGATGATCAGCGTGTCAGCCAAAGCACACTGGAACTTCCGTAACGTTTTGGTTTACATTATTTGGTACAGTTTTGTATCACCACTGTTTTGTTGTGGGGATGAGACAAAGGAGACAATGGATTGTCTGGCAAAGTTGCAGGATTCTATGGAAGTTCTGAAATGGTTTTGGGCCACATGAAAAGTAGCAAGATATTAAAAAGTGGAACAGCATCCCACCTCATTTCAAACACTGATTATTTCTCTGAACAGCAACCATGCTTACCTTTTAAGACGTGCACGACTGTGAAAGCGTTTGCCACACCTGTGGCATGAAAAGCTGCGTTCAGCTAGGTGGACCCAAGCATGTTTCTGGAGTGAGCGACGATCTTTGCAAGTTTTACCACAGAGGGTGCAGGCATTGGGCGGGATGTTACGAGCATGCCGTCGTCGGACGTGTGCAGCAACAGCTGGTGCATCCAAAAAACACTCGCCGCACAACATACAGCGATGAGGCTGATAACGTGCATGTGATTCAACATGCGCCAAAAGGTCGTTCTGCCCAGGGAAGTCCTGACCACACACCTGACATACGTTTGCCATTGCACTGCTGTTTGGCTCAAACTTGACATGGATTCTGTACCAAAAATAACACCCCTTTCTTAAAATTTGGAAATGCAAAGTGATGTTTCCATAAAATTTTCAACAAGTTAGGTTGTGTATTGTGTGAGATGTAGGGCAAGGAAACAGAAAAATGACATATCATGCAACTTAACAGTTTATACTTTCCATATGATAGATTGGTTAAGTGAAGGAAGCTGAGATGGACAATACTTGTAGTATACAATTGGGAAACATGAAATGATTACAACAGTTCATTAAAAAATCTCACATAGAAGTAAAGACACAAATGAGATAATATGTTAAAATGGATCTTAAAGGAATAACCTGTATATGGCTAATGAAAGGGTCTAACAGGAATTTTCTGTGATGACTAACATAAGGATTTGAGATCCTTATACGTGGGGCAATCCAAAAGTTACCGAAATTTGAATTTTGCGCGCGAATGGTTATGAGTACATCAAAATACCACTAGGTGTCTCCTCACACATCCTTCTTGAATCTGTGGCAAGCGGCGTTGAGTTGAGTGGTTGGGTTTATTGTTGGTGAACGTATTTCCATTGTTGTGTTTCCATGAGTTTGCGGTTTCGCGATGGCTGACCTGAGAGAACAGCGTGTCTGTATAAAGTTTTGTTTCAAACTTGGGAAAACCGCTGCAGAAACGCACCAAATGTTGAAGCAAGCTTTAGGTGAAAACAGTTTAGGCCAGACAAAAACTTACAAGTGGTATAAACGTTTTAAAAATGGCCGAACAATGACTGATGACGACGATCGTTCAGGACGGCCGTCAACGGGGCAAAACACCAGATAATGTCGCGAAAGTTAGGGATCTGATTCTGCAAGATCGTAGACTGACCATCCAAGACCTCTGTAACACTTTGGGACTACGTTATGGTACATGTCAATGAATTTTGTCAGGGGAACTGAACATGAGGAGGATTGCGGCGAAGTTTGTGCCACGACTGCTAATGAACAGAAACAGCATCGCTTGGAAGTCTGCAGGGAACTTCAGCAACAGCTTCAAGAGGATCCAAACTTTCTTTCAAAGGTTGTCACTGGTGACGAAAGTTGGGTTTATGGCTACGACCCTGAAAGCAAGCAGCAATTGTCACAATGGAAGAGCCCTTCTTCACCTCGGGGAAAAAAAAGCTCGACAAGTCAAGAGCAACATTAAGTCCATGTTGATCTGTTTTTTGACATTGACGGGATTGTTCATAAGGAGTTCGTCCCTCCTGGTCAGACAGTCAATAAAGAGTTCTATCGCAATGTTCTAAGGCGTTTGAGGGAGGACATGAGGAGAAAACGCCCAGAGAAGTGGCGCACGAATGACTGGGTACTGCACCATGACAATGCACGACCGCACACAGCTTACATTGTGCAGGAATTTTTGGCTAAACAAGATGGCAGTTGTTCCCCACCCACCGTACTCGCCAGACTTAGCTCCATGTGACTTCTTTCTCTTCCCCAAGATGAAAACCAAGTTGCAGGGGCGAAGATTTGATACAGTTGAGGAAATTCAAGCGGAAACACAGACGGTACTAAACACCCTAACAAAGAAAGACTTCCAGGATGCATTTGAAAAGTGGCAGAAACACTGGGATCGGTGTATGCAATCTCAAGGGGACTACTTTGAAGGTGACGGTGCAGAATAAGATCTAGGTAAGATGTAATAGTTTTTATTAATATATTTCGGGAACTTTTGGATTGCACTACGTAAATAGGGAATTTCTTGATCAGCTGAAAAACTACTGACTGCTCATGGATGATCCTGAATCAGCATGCAACATACTCTTGATACATGAACAGCCCAAAACTCTCCAGTACAGAACCTGTATTTTGTGACAAGCATGAACACATTAGTTGGATTTTGTGTGTTACAAAGTTTGGTATGACAGACAGCAATTTGGTGTGTTATTTTCAGTAGTGCCACAGAATTTAAATGGAACATGTATACTAAATAATTTAAACAAACATCATAATTACATAAATTCCTTTACCAGTAAATTATCTCCACTACTGTTTGCTACAAATTGCTTTCAATCAATACTGGACTTTGAGGTAAGCAACTGCATATGTACGTGTGCATGCAAACACACACACACACACACACATAAAACCCTCGACATTTACACCGTGTATCACTGAACCATGTGTCACAGTTTGTAACATGTATACTATGTAAAACAAAGGCAGATACAGTAATGTAATTGAAGAAAGCAGTCTTCTGGGATATGGCACTGTGTAAATATTGTGTTAACTGACTTGGCCCCACACAAGCCCCTTTGCTGGTTTCGCTATGTGGATGACCCCTTTGTCATCTGGCCATATGGACCCGACAAGCTTAAGGACTTCCTGAACCACCAGTGCATTCAGTTCACAATGAAGACCAAAAGTGAGGGCCACCTCCCCTTTCTGGATATAGATATTTACAGCAGAACCAATGGTTCTCTGGGTCATAGAGTGTACCGCAAATCCACCCATACAAACCTCTACCTTAACACTGCATCCCACCACCACCCATCCAACAAGCAAGCTGTACTTTCCACACTGGTGCACAGGGCTGGAGCTCTATGCAATCAAGACAGCCTACATGTGGAGTTGGTGCTCCTGGGGGACATTTTCAGGCAGAACGGTTACAACCGACAGATCCGCAGAGTTCGCAACCGTCGTCCGAACATCAGTCGGCCCAACAATAAACCAGACTCAGTCGTCTTCCTGCCTATGTCGGGACTATATTCAACCGAATCAGCAGAGTCCTGTCCCAGCACATCATCATATCAGTGGGCCTGCATACAAAGAAATTATCGTTTCCTCCGGCCAGTTAAAGATAGCCTGGGACTAAGGACACTGGGTGTATAGAGTATCCCATGCAAGTGTGGCAAGGTCTATATTGGGCAGACAGGCCATTCCGTGGACACGAGGTTGAAGGCGCATCAGTAGCACATCCATCTCAACATCCAGACAAGTCTGCTGGGGCCGAACACAGCATCAATTTGGGACACTGCATTCACCACCAAGACCTATTATATGGATTGCATCATTAGGGAGGCCATTGAGATTGAACTCTATCCCAACAATATGAACAGAGAGGTGGGGTTTCATCTCAGGAAGTCATGGAAGCCTCTCATATGTTTCCTCAAGAAACCTCCGGGATATGACGCCAGATCCACAAGGCCATGCAAGTCCATGTCCGACTTGCATAGCAACCCAAAGCTTAAGAGTTAATACCCTCCAATTAACTTTGCCTTTCCCCCTGACGCAATATTCTGTACCTGCTCTAGCCAGCTACCTGCTGACCCACCTCCCCCAGACCCTTCCCCTCTCCTCTCTACTGAGTTCCCATGTTGCCCTCTCCCATGTCTTCCTGCCCTTATACAGCTGGGTTTAGTCTTGACATTAGTCTATTTGCACCTTCTCACGCTGGTTCTTTGCTTGTGGATTTTCTTCTTTTTCCTTATACCCTGAAGATGGAGGCGATACGTTCCTCAGAAACGTCGGTTAACACAATATCTACAGGGCACCATATCCCAGAATACTGCTTTCTTCATAGTCACTGCCATGAAAACCTCAAATCTTACACAGTAATGTAATTGTTTCCCAATACTTCTGCAGGGGCCAGCATTAAAAGGCAGTGTTACCTGGGTTGGAAAGAGGAAGGTGGGCTGTGCTGCAACATACTGTGACAAGGTAGGATAGTTTAACAAGAGACATCATCTATTGTGGGGCAGTGGCACAGTAAACACACTCCATCATCATCAAACAAGCAATAAACACGCAATAACAGAAGAGCTGTTGGAGGTGGTGTTTTCTATAGTCTGTGCCGACGCTATATAACAAGGACACCAGCCAGTAAGGACATCAGTATGAGAGCAAAAGAATTTCCATTGGTGGGAACAATAACTGACAGAGGAAGCACACAGACAAAATAACGCAAGAAAGTTCTTTAGAGATATCAAGTCTTTTCAAGGTGGGAAATCTACAGGTGTATTGGTCTGTAAGGATGAAGATGGAAAATTAATCTCTGAACAAGACAGAATATTAGAGAGATGGGAGCATCATTTTAGAACTTCAATGATGACAGACAAGAAGTCTGAAGGTAATAAAGGAAAAGAAATCTTAAGAGGTAAATGAAAATATATTACCTCCCACTACTTACACAGAAATAGACAACATAATAACCAATTTAAAATTGAACAAGGCTCCAGGGACTGATAACATTCCCTCAGAACTAATTAAACATGCAGGAAGTACACTGAAGCAAAGACTCTACAATCTATTTCTGTTAATACGGAAAAAAGAAGAATTGCCTATAGATTGGACGGAAGGAATTATCTGCCCAATATATAAGAAAGGAGACATACCAAATGCTCCATCTATCGGCCAATAACCCTTCTTAATATAGCTTATACAATATTTGCAATTCTATTAAATAATCGGTTATCTGAAATAGTACAAGAAAAAGTGATGTGCAAATGGGTTTCAGGCCAGACAGATCTACAGTAGATAACATTTTCATTATTGGGCAAGTTTTTGAAAATGTCACAATAATATTGAACTACATAATGATTTATTGACTAAACACAATCTTTTGATTTAATTGACAGAAATAAAGTATTGGAGAGCCTAAAATATTATGATGACCCAATAAAATTGATTAGCTCAATAGCATTCTCACAGATACAAAAGCAACAGTGAAACTGAATAATGAGTACTCTAGTAAATTTGAGGTACACAAAGAGATCTTTTGTCTGCTACTCTCTTTAGCATAAACACAAATGTAATAAGAAAGCTTGATACTATGAGAAACATCTTAACCAGAGTGAAACAATGTATTGCATATGCAGATATTTTAATAAGTACCAGCCTAAACAGGCCATGATTGATGATTTTAATATATTAAAGAAGGAATCCATAAAATGTGGATTAGTGATCAGTGAAAACAAAGTACATGAAATGAACCAGAAGAAAACAATCTAAAATTGATGATTTAGAGATTGGAAATTTAAAAATAGGTCA